CTTCACCGGCGATCTGCAGGAAAGTCGCGATAATCAGTTAAAAATATATGAATTTTGACATTGGGAGGATTCGAACCCGCGGCGGTCGCCCGCGCCTTACAAGGTGGATTTAGTCCCACATTGGTTGTGCGCGGATTATTCGGGCGAATATATAGTAAAGTTAGCTTTCTAGGCAAAGTCCTCTCGCGTGTACGACCACTCCTTGCCCCACAGCCGGCTGACACCGGTGACGTGGAAGGGGAGTGGCGCACACGTGCCCCTATCGATCTAAGCAAGCCGCTCGAGCCCCTGCTCGCGGCTACTCCCCGACTGCGCTTCCGACCCGCTTGCGGGCCCGGCTGGCCGGCGGATCCCCCATTTTGCAATATTTTTATTTTTATTTCTTGTTCTTCATTTATCTCAAAACTAAGACTGTAAAAATCGTATAAAATCACATAATTACCCAAAAATTCACGTTAATCAACTGAAAACCACTTTTCACACTTTAACACAAATATAAGTCTATTTATCATGAGTTAAGGCTAAAACTATATTATTTACTAATTATTAACTCATGATAATGAAGACTTATCACTCCTCCACATATAGAATCAACCATATTTCTATATTATTCTAATAATCCATCATAAAAAATTCTATTGAGCTACCACTTGGGTATAGCATGATGAGGACGCACTCTAAGTAAACCTTTGAATTTTTCCCATATCTCATGTAAAGTTTCTCCTAGTCTTTGAGAAAAATTCTATATATGTTTTCTCATATTTTGAGTTTTTCCTAAGGAATAAAATTTTCAAAGAAAGGCCTGTTCTATGTCCTTCCAACTAGTTAATTCTCTATATGATGTGAATAACCAATGACTAGCTTTGTCCCTAAGTGTATGAGGGAATAATTTCATCTTAATAATTTCTGGTGTAACTTGAGGGAGATTAACTAAATCACAAACCATATGAAATTTTTCTAAGTGCTGATGAGGTTCCTCTAAAGGCAATCCATGAAAATTAGGGAGCATTTGAAAAATTCCTAGATTTATTTCAAATTTAATAGTAGGTGCTAATGGGACTCTAATATTGGATGCTCTTTGAAATGAATACAGGATATAATAATTTTTCATGGCCATAGGATTTCTCTTAGTTTTGACTTGTACTTCTTTCAAAATCCATCAGAATTTATCTTTCTTTCGGATTTTTAGTTTTGAATGAAATAATGAAAGGACTTTCTAGCCTTAGATGCAAGGATCTTCTACCATGCATAAAAAATTAATAAATTCGAGAGAAAAAGTTAGTAGTTGTCACCCTCCTTCAAGATGTTCCAGTCCTTACCTTGCTTCTTTTCATTCCCTTTTTCTAAAAAAAAATCGACAAAAAGAAAATAAAACAAGAGTTAAATTTTTTTGTGTACTCTAAGAGAAAAATAGAAAAATACTAAATATTATATAATATATCTCCGGCAACGGTGCCAAAATTTGACGTGACTCAGTTGTTGTATATTAAATCACACAAATCTTAAATTTATAAAACTAAAAAATATGAATTTTCAAATATTTAGAAGTATTTCTAATTAAATATATCAATTATAATTCCATAAAACTTCCAAAAATAGCAGTAATTTTTCAGATCGATCACAAGGATGTAATATAATATTTAGTAATTATTCAAAATTTGTCTCAATGAATATGATTTTCAATGAATTTTATACTAGAAAATAAAAAAAAATATATTTAAAATTCACGAAAAGGGAAATAAGGGTGCAGGCATTAGGATGACATCAACACCCGGTGAATGCAAATTGGGCAGAAATAGAGTTCTGCCTGATGATTCTTTTGTAAGCGATTATAGATGATTTACTTAATCAAATTATGATTTGTAAAAGCCGAAAGAATCGTAATAGAACAAAGTATATTTTGGTAAATTAAAACCACAAAGATTATCACTAAATGAAGTGTAAAGTAAGTTGAAAGTAGGAAAATAGAGTTCCAGTGTCGCGACGGCGATGCGTTGGCGATGCACTAGAATCCTGAGCATTTGGGAGGATTGTCGTGCAGTGTCCACGGCCTCGAAGGCTCTCTTTGGACAAAGACGACATGGACAATCTCTAGATCTTCTTGCAAAGTCTAGAGATTAATGAAATGAGTCGTCAAGTTGTCTCTGACGGCTATCACCCGACGAAGCGGAAAAATGGCGACTTTGCAGCTCTTCGGTGGCTATCACCCAATGGAGAGGAGCTAGATGGAGGTGGGGTGCGTGTTAGGGAGCTTCATCCTCAGGTCCATGCAGCAAGAGGAGGCTCTTCATCGCATCTGGTACATTCTCAAGAGGTGGCGACTCGTCTCCCAGTGGATCATCTTCTTCCTGACGACAGCTTGTTCATCGATCAATTAGAGATGATTTACTCGATAGATTTGCGATCCTTTTATCACAAATCCTTCAGCAATTTTAGTAGCAATGCTCTGCAAATCGCATTGATGAGATTTTTGCCAATGATTTAGCGATTCTCGTTGCTTAATCCTTCACCGGCGATCTATAGGAAAGTCATAATAATTAGATAAAAATATATGACTTTTGACTCTAGAAGGACTCAACCTGCGCCGGTCGCCCACCTCTTCTGAGGAAGGTGTGACGCAGGTTTAGTCCCACATTGGTTGTTCACCAATTTTTTGGGTGAATATATAGCAATGTTAGCTTTCTAAGCAAAGTCCCTTTTCTCGCATGAACAACCACTTCTTGCCCCATAGCTGACTGGCCACCGGTGACGTGGAAGGAGAGTGGCGCACACGTGCCCTTATCAGTCTAAGCCGCTCAAGCCCCTACTCGCGGCTACTCCCCGATTGAGCTTCCGACCCACTTGCAAGCTCGGCTGGCCGACGGGTCCCCCATTTTGTAATATTTTTATTTTTATTTCTTGTTCTTTATTTATCTCAAAAGTGAGACTGTAAAAATCATATAAAATCACATAATTACCCAAAAATTCACATTAATTAATTGAAAACCACTTTTCACACTTTAACACAAATATAAATCTATTTATCATGAGTTAAGGCTAAAACTATTTTATTTACTAATTATTAACTCATGATAATGAAGACTTATTAGTATCACCTAGGATGGATCATTGTGCCCAAGAGAGTGAAAATGTTAAAAATACCCAACCTTATAAACTTATGTGTGATTATTATACACCTGATTTATATAGCATTACTTTGTAGGTTAGACCTCCTATTTTGCCAAATGTTCATTTTGATATTCTTTATAGCACTCTACAAATGCTTCTTAAATTTCGTGGGTTAACTAATGAGGAACCACATCAACATATTCTTCGATTTTTAGTTGCATGTGAACTTATTCTAATTCTTAATATTCTTCAAGATGCATGTAGGTTACATCTCTTCCCATATTCATTGCATGATAAAGCTAGAGATTGACTCACATCATTACCACATGAGATCAGCACATGATTAGAAGTAGAGCAAGCATTTTTAATAAAATTTTATCCCATTGATAAGATTCATGTCATGTGGAAAGTCATTATCTAATTTACTAAAACATCATGAGAAATATTCTATGAATCTTGAGAAAGATTCAATAAAAGGAGATTCCCACATCATGGAATTACCAATGACAATTAAATTGTGTATTTTATGATGGTGTATCTGAATAGCATAAGAATACTATAATGTAGCATGTGGAGGCACATTCATGAGTAAGGATGAGGATGAAATTCATAGATTATATGAAAATTTAAGTAAAAGTTCTGTTGAATGTGAACCTTTTGTTTTATATGATCGCAACAATAGTGAAATAAAAGAGGAATGTTTGAGATTAGAAATCATAATGTATTAGTGTTAAAGCTAGATTTATGTGTGTTAATTAGTTTTATTATTTGATTTTTTTTTTTTAACTTTAAGAATAAATATATGATATATTTTTAATTTTAAAAGTTTAAAGTTAAAATACTAAGTGTAATTTTTTATTATTAAAATAAAAATATAAAAATATAAAAAAATCTTTCACTCACTAACAAGCTAGCACTCGACAATTGACCCAGAGGGGGGACACTAGTTGAGCGAGTAGACCCAGACCAAGGGAGCCATGAGCTGGGCTCGAGTGGCAAAGCCCTTGCTCCACGCACGTGTGTGTCACTCCCCTTCCACGTCCTAGTGGCCAATTGGTCGTGGGGCAAGGAATGGCTATTCACATGTATGCATGCGAGGGTAGACCACCTTATTGCCTTCTCCCAAGATGGTCTTGGGTATTATTTTATTTCAAGAGAAGGGATCTCTACTAAGAGACTATAGCTTTAGTTTATATTTGACATATGTGTCCAAAATATTTTTGATGTGGAACTAAATGACTAAGTTTGTTTCAACACAGCCATCTAGAGCGCAGTGTGATCCAATGGTACATAGAAAGCCACATCATCCAATTAGCCTGATCCTATGGCTAGCTAACTATAATGATACTAAATGCGTAAAGCGATTTATTGATGGTTCGTGAATCCGACGCTGCTCAGCATATACGTGGCCTTAAAGGATGATACGACGATTATGGAAGCACCACAGTACTAGAACTTAAGTTCTCAATTGATAGGATTCATGGCGGGTTGATCCTACATCGCTTAGTGCACCATGTACCAAGCTCATGTGATCTAGTGGCTATCGAAGTACCAAAATACCAAGAACTTAAGTCTTCACATGTATCACCTTTAGGGATATAAAGATAATAATTAATTATTATCTAGTAAAATAGATGTTATTAATTATCTTTAAAATCCCAACATCAGTCATGAATACACAATTCGTTTTTCCCTCATTTTGCATGAGTGACAGCTCTAACAATCGACACGCTTCTTCCTTCCTCCCTTGACTACACTCAAGGCCTCCAATGAATGGTCAGCTCTTCCCTTTTCCACCCAAATGATGGTGACAATGTGGTTGACCCCTCTTCTAGCAGATCTCTCTAGTAAGTAATGTAGCACTTCTGGACGATACTTTTATGACTTCTGACATGGTGTGGCACGACTAGATAAAACCAAGCTGCCACACTAGTGTCTCTAGTTGCCTAAGAGGTAGACTAAACTTGAGAAATTATTTATTTTCTATTTTAAGTATTTACTTACCTACTTTTGTCATTTATTTATATTTTATGGAAAGTTTTTTCTATTTCATGCACATTTCGATTGAAATGAGTAGAACTAATTTGAAACTTGATGAATGATTTTCATTCTTCTTTTGAATCCTCCAAAACTCATATGAGATTAAGCTAAGATCATTTCCAACGTATTTTTTATTGATTTTTATAGTTGAATCTTGACATATTCATGTTCCTGATGTTCCGTGAATAACAAGTATTTTTTTTACTTTTGAATGTGAAATTACTGAGATTAAAGGCTAATTAATGAGCATTCAATAATTAAAATAAGTTGGAGTCATTCACAGCTGACCTCATATCATGTATCTGAATCCTCGAGTGCACATCCATTCGAGAAAATGAGTTGACTTTATTTCTATCTTTTTTTATTTTTCGTCTTATTTCTCTCTCCCTCTCTTGTGAGACCTCTCTCCTCTCTATGTTTCTTGTGAGATCTCTCCCTTTCTCTCCCCCTTTCTCTCCCTCTCTCTCGATCGATCTCCTTCTCTTTTTCTCCCTTTTGCAAGAGATCTCATCCCTTTTCTCTCTCATGAGAGCTTCCTGACGTGACTCAGTCGTTGTATATTAAATCACGTAAATATAAAATTTATAAAACTAGAAAATACAAATTTTCAGATATTTAGAAGTATTTCTAAATAAATATATCAATTATACTTCAATAAAAATTCCAAAAATAGCAATAATTTTCCAGGTCAATTGTAGGGATGTAATATAATATCTAGTAATTATTCAGAATTTTTCACAATGAATACGATTTTCTATGAATTTTATACTAGGAAATAAAAAGGAAATATATTTAAAATTCACAAAAAAGGGAAATAAGGGCGCGGACGTCAGGATGACGTCAGCGCCAGGTGAGTGCGAATAGGACGGAAATAGAGTTCCGCCCAACGATTCTTACGTAAGCAATTACAAACGATTTAATTGATCAAATTAAGATCTGTAAAAGTCGGAAGAATTGTAATAGAACATAGTATATTTTGGTAAATTAAAAACACAAAAATTATCACTAAATGAAGCGTAAAGTAAATTGAAAGTAGTAAAACAGAGTTCCGGCGTCGCAACGGCGATGCGTCGTCAATGCACTAGAATCCTAAGCGTTCGGGAGGATCGTCGTGTAGTGTCCACGGCCTCAAAGGCTCTCTTTGGATAAAGATGACGTGGGCAATCTCTAGATCTTCTTGCGAAGTCTAGAGATCAATGAAGTGGGTCGTCGAATCGTCTCCAGCGGCTGTCACTCTGCGGAGCGGAAAAATGGCTACTTTGCGGCTCTCCGGCAGTTGTCACCCAACGGAGAGGAGCTGGATGGAGGTGGGGCGCGTGTCAGGGAGCTTCATCCTCAGGTCCGCGCAGCAAGAGGAGGCTCTTCATCGCATCTGGTACGCTCTCAGGAGGTGGCGACTAGTCTCCCAGCAGATCGTCCTCTTCCTAACGACGGCTTGTTCATCGATCAATCGGAGATGATTTACTCAATGGATTCGTGATCCTTTTATCGCGATTTGTTCAGCAATTTTAGTAACAATGCTCCGCGAATCGCATTGACGAGATTTTCGCCGATGATCTAGCGATTCTCGTTGCTTAATCCTTCATCGGTGATTTGCAAGAAAGTTGCGATAATCAGATAAAAATATATGAATTTTTAACTCTGGGAGGATTTAAACCCGCGCCGGTCACCCCTCGCCTCTTCTGAGGAAGGTGTGACGTGGGTTTAGTCCCACATCGCCGATTTTTCGGACGAATATATAGTAATGTTAGCTTTGTAAGCAAAGTTCCTTCTCTCGCATGTACGACCATTCCTTGCCCACGGCTGGCTGGCCACTGGTGACGTGGAAGGGGAGTGGCGTACACGTGCCCAATCGGTCCCCAAGCCAAGCCGCTTGAGCCCCTACTCGCGACTACTCTCGGACTGTGCTTCCGACTCGCTTGTGGGTATGGCTGGCCGGCGGGTCCCTCCATTTTTGTAATATTTTTATTTTTATTTCTTGTTCTTCATTTATCTCAAAAGTAAGACTGTAAAAATTGTATAAAATCACATAATTATCCAAAAATTCACGTTAATCAACTGAAAACCACAAATCATTTTTTAACACAAATATAAGTCTATTTATCATAAGTTATGGCTAAAACTATATTATTTACTAATTATTAACTCATGATAATGAAGACTTATCACTTCCTCTCCTCCTCTCTTTCTCTCCCTTTTGCGAGAGATCTCATCCCTTCTCTCTTATGAGAGCTTTTTCTCCTCCTCTCTCTTTCTCTCTCTTTCGTGAGAGATCTCATCCCTTCTTTCTCTCATAAGAGTTCTCTCTTCTTTCTCTCTATTCCTTCTTCCTTTTCTCCACTTCCCTTCTTTTATTCTTCTCACCTCACCCTTCTATTTTCTTATTTTCATTAAATATTAATAAAATATTCAAATCACTTTATATATAAATTAAATTAGTTCTCACGACAAATTAATCAACCTCCCTATGTTTGACTTAAGACTTACTTCTATACTAATATTTTATTAAGTCTTAGTTATAAGTAATTATTAGATAGTGTTCATTTAAATACAATGACAAGTGCACACTAATTAGACATTAGAAATGAAGTTAGTGAGGTTCATCAAAAATTAAATGTTTAATGATCATTTGATGCATAAAAAAGAACCTACACAATCTGCACAACATTTATATTCTAGATGTTCATCATGTGGTAGAATTGATCGTTATGAATCTCAGTGTCCTAATTTAAATCAAGAGCATGCAAATACACTTCATGATCCTATGAATCAATAAAATTTCCCTTCGAAAAATCAGAATATTCAAATTCTCAAAGTCATGCCATAAATTCTCCATCATTTCCTAGACCTAATCATACATTTACACCTCCTTATCAACCACAATATAATACTAAGTCCTCATTTCAGTAAAATACTTATAATTTCCAACAAGGTACTCATTAGCCACCAGCCCACAATTTTACCCCTTCTTTTTCAAGTTTAGTCTCTAATTTCAGCCCACAATATCTTAGTTCCAATCAAATATAAATTCAAATTCAATGCAACAATTTATGGGACAAATGATGCAGAAATTTCATGAAACAAATACATCTATGATGTAGACAATGGAGTAAATTAAGCAAAAAAATCAATAAACAAATCTTAGGTTAGAAAAAGAAATAAGAAAACTAGCCTTGGCTCATTCAAAATGTAAAATGGGTCAACTTCCTAGTCAACCTTCTAGTAGCCATGAACCATTTACATCTCAAGGTTTTAAAAATGTAAAAGTGGTGACTACTTAGAGGAGGGGAAAGCAACTAAAAGATCTATATGCACCAGATTTTTTAGAAAAATAAGTTTATGATGATGAACTGTTGAATGATGATGATAATGATCATAATAGTTTATTTTCTGATGATGAGAATTTGGAGAAAGAAAAAATAAGAATCAAAAGAAGAAAATTCAGAAGTACCACCCATTCTCATTTTATCACAAGTAAATGAACTTAAAAAAACAATCTTGTTTTCCAATATATTAGAACCAAAAATTAGGAAAAGAGTTGAACCTAATGAAGAACTTATGAAAATATTTAAATAAGTTCAGACCTCTATTCCTTTGATAGATGCAATCAAACATATTCCTGCATATACAAAAATTTTAAAAGAATTATGCACACTTTGTAAGTCACCTTAGAACATATCTTTATCCGAATAGGCTAGTGTCATTATTTCTCATTCTTTGCCTAAGAAATGTAAGGATCTAGGAGCACCTCTCATCTCATATAAAGTAGGTGAAACTACATTTAGAAATGTCCTCTTAGATTTGAGTGTAAGTGTTAATTTATTACCTTTAGCTATTTTTTAAAATTTAAAAGTAGGAGAACTAAAACCAACTTTAGTGGAACTTCAGCTAGTTGATAAATTCATTAAAACACCTAGGGGTCTCATAGAAGATGCCATCATCAATGTTAAAGGATGTAGATTTTCAATGATTTTTTTTATTTTAGATATTCCTATTTTAGATGATCTTACTCATGCACCAATCATATTAGGACATTGATGTAGTTCTAAGTCATTATGAGAATCACAATCAATTTTAATAATTTATAGAACTAGATTCACCAAAAATAATAATAATAATTTTAAATGGGTATAGTCGTGAGCTAGGTCATCTCCTCAAGGAAGGCTTTTAAAAATCTTTTTATTCTCTAATTTAAAGCAATAAAGGAAATAAAATGTAGCACCCCTTTACGAAATTGATTGGAAAATTTAAATTTATATTCAAAGCAATAAAGGAAATAAAATGGCAAATAAATGTAAATAGGAAATTTGAAAATTAAATAAGTTAAAATCAGTAAACTAAATATACTTTGGAATGATAAAATAGAAGAGAAATAAGTAAAGAAATGCATGGCTTGATGAAAACTCTATTAAAAATCAAACTTACAACCCTTAGAATGCATGGTTTGATGTCGACCTCTGGGTAGCACTTCTCAGTCTTGCATCCAGTTCAACAGAATGGATTTAAGGTGAAAAGGATAGACGAGAACAATCAAAATCAACAATGCACTCTTTAGATTTTTATTTTCACATGAGAAGGAAGAACGCCGTTTTTTCTCAAGAACAACCCAAGAATAACTCCGAAAAAACTCTCTTTCTCTCTCCTCTTTCTCCTTTTCGTCCGTGTGCGTCGGATGTGTGGATCACCACCGTTGGATTGGCACTACTTTGATGCATTGGTGGCTGTGACGTGGCGTCTGTTGGATTGTCCGATCTGATAGCAGTCGCCGTTGGATCCTGGAGCTAATTTTTGGTATGACGGTGGTGATGAAGTGGCTTCATGCAGTGCGTCGGATTTGCTGGGGGTCGTCATTGGATCATGGAGCTACTTTTTGGTATGACGGCAGCAGTGACGTGGCTTCATGCAGTGCGTCAGATTAGACCACTACTATCACCACTACTATTAGATCTGAAAAGAATAACAAGATACATTTAATAAATTTATGCGAGTGTGATCATATATAATAATGATGGCCTCTAATTATATTTATTTTAATGCCTAAAATTTTCGAAAAAAATGCATAAAATATATTTCAACTAATCATAAAAATTTAACACAATAATATTTTTTTTAAAAAATAAAATAAATGAGAATTAAGTCTCAAGATATGAAATAATTTTCATTAGTTATCAGACACCCATTTCTTGTCACACCCAAAGAAAATATTGATTGTGAAAATAGGATTATAAATATGAAACATGAAGGTCAAATATCTCTTTACATATTTTTAAATTTTAATTTTTTTAAAAAGGATAATTATGAAGACATTAAGGTAATTTATTCTTGCATAGAGGAATTGAATTATGTTCAGCAAGTTGATCAGTTAATTTTTTCATTCTATGCACATGCATTAGGTCAAAAATATTATAGGAAAGATACATTAGATGATGACACAACATTCATGGAATCATTATAGACTTGTGTCTGGCTAAAGATAATAAACTTAATGCTAATTAGGAGGCAACCCAATAATTTTCTTTTTGCAGAATTTAATTTGTGATTTGTAGTTAGTAAATTTAGAATTTCGTTGCTCCTTATTTCATTTTAGTCTTACCTCATACATTTCTGTTTTATCATGTTAGACTTGCTGATTTATGAATATATAGCTTTTGCTTCGTAGTTTAATTTGATAATATATTTCATGTCATTAAGGACAATTCTGATTTTAATTGGGGAGAGCAAAGAAAATTCAGTTAGATTTATTTCATGCATAATTAGCATAGAAGGAAACATTAAAACTAGTATTGATGAATTCATAGATTTCTACATTTTCCTATAAGATGGTAAATTCATTTAAGTATGAAGGTTAAAGTGTGTTAGATTTAGTGACTTCATGTGATAGAAAAAAAAATGTAAGACATTGAAGGATGAAATATTTTCAGAATATATCTTGATGATCATGATTCATAGGTTATGAATTTACATTTTGAATTAGTAGGAATCATGAAAATGGATGTGATGAGGTTGAAATTGTATAAAAATTATTGGAAGCTAGAATTCTTAGTATGAGGAATCTTTAGTAGTTGACTATTCGTTTTACATATATATAGAAAAACAAATCATCATATGGTAGAGTGTAAGATCTAACTCACAAAAAAATATATATGAGGATTTCTTACTTGTCCCATAGAGACTTTTCTATATGTGAAACTAAGACAAGATTTTAAAAAAAATTTGACTGCAAATGCTTCTATGGGGATTTCTCACTTGTCTTGTGGAGGCTTTCCACATGTGAGATTTAGACATGAAAAAGAAGCTATTTGAGGAAAGTTACCTGCCTATGATGTTTATAATAATAATAATAATAATAAAAGACAAATGGAATACACTACTTGGGTGCATGAATCTAGAAGAGAAGGCTAAAGATGATTTGAAAACTTGAGTAAACTTTTGATCATTTAATTAGTGATTTCCCAAAATG